CATCATCAACAGGAATGCACGTAAAGAGTGATGTGACATCAAAAGAGACCATTGTTTCATCAGTCTCCATGATGACATCCCTCACCTTATCCACAAAGTCCATGGTGTTCTGTATATGGTGTTCGGAGCTGCCAACTAAAGGGATGAGTACAGACGCCAGATATTTGGAAACATTGTAAGTGACAGAGTTAATCTTTCTAATAATAGGTCTTAAAGGTACACCTTGGTGAGACAGACCAATTTTACTATTGAAGCCATGAAGGCCAAAGAAGAGCACATTAAACAGAAACTAACAATGTGTCTAGATCAGACCACACTTCATCAAGTGTTGGACTGTACAGATCAGGCACGCTTAGCACAGAATGTCAAGTCTAAGATACGACAGCAAAACAAGTTCAACTTACTAATAACTCATCAACACCATCACTATTCCAATAACAACACATTCAGAGTAGGACAACACTCCAGTAGTCAATTACATGCCAGGGAGACAGAAAAGTGGGTGAAGAATTTATCCAACAGACAGCTCACCCAGCCGGAGACAGAGATTCTTGCCAGGGGACTGAACTTTGCTGTTGCACCAAGTAGAATTCCTCTGGTAGAGATGATCACATCCACAGAATCAGCCATCCGCAACAACAAAATGAAAGAGGGTGAAACAGAACAGCTCAGAATCAAAGTTTCATCCTGCCTCAACAATGCCAAACCACCAACTTCCAACATCAGTAGAGATGAGAGGGATGCACTCACCGCTCTTAGCATGGACAAAAACATCATCATTCTCCCAGCAGACAAAGAAAAGGTGCACAGTGATTTTGAACCAGAAAGACTATCATGAGAAAGTTATGACACTCCTTAGTGACTTAACCACTTATGAACCTCTGAAAAGAGATCCAGGAAGTGGTTACAAGAAGAAGTTAATAGACTGCCTGAAAAATTTGGAGCAGGACAAGGCTATTGACCATATTCTGTACCACAGACTGTACCCAGGGGAGGCTACACCTAGTCTGTATGGTTTACCTAAAATCCACAAACAAGGTGTACCTTTAAGACCAATTGTTAGTATGATTAACTCTGTCACTTACAATGTTTCCAAATATCTGGCGTCTGTACTCATCCCTTTAGTTGGCAGCTTAGAACACCACATACAGAACACCATGGACTTTGTGGATAAGGTGAGGGATGTCATCATGGAGACTGATGAAACAATGGTCTCTTTTGATGTCACATCACTCTTTACGTGCATTCCTGTTGATGATGCAGTAGAGGTGGTCAGTTTAAGAATAAAATCAGACACTACTCTGAGCAGCAGGACCACGCTTTCCACAGAACAACACTCTTGAAACTGTGCCTGCAGTCAACCTACTTCACATATGGGGAGCAATATTATAGGCAGAAACATGGGTGTGCTATGGGGTCTCCAGTTTCTCCTCTTGTTGCCAACCTGTACATGGAGGAGGTAGAAAAGAGAGCCTTGACGTCCTTTTCAGGGACCACCAAGTCATTGGTTCAGGTATGTTGACGACACCTGGGTTAAAATTTAATCTCAGGAAGTCCAACATTTTACTGACCACATCAACTCTGTGGATAAATACATCAAGTTCACACGAGAAGATGTAAAAAATAGCAGGTTGGCTTTCTTGGACTGTGAGGTCTCAGTCTCTGATAGAGGACATTTGCAAACCGAGGTGTACCACAAACCCACCCACACAGACCAGTATTTGCAGTTTGACTCCCATCACCCTTTGGAGCACAAGTTAGGAGTCATCAGGACTCTGTATCACAGAGCAGATAGCATCCCCACTAACTCAGGAGCCAGGCAGAAGGAGAAATCCTACACAAGACAGACTCTAGAGCAATGTGGATATCCTAACTGGGCCTTTCTGAAAGCAGAGAAGAAGCCAAAACAGGACTCCAGTCAGCCATCAGGTGAAAAGGAGGAACCCAGACTCAGACCAGTGGTCATTCCGTATGTTGAGGGAGTATCAGAGAAACTGAAACGTTTATTTTCTAAACATAACGTCCCAGTGGCTTTTAAACCCCAAAATACATTACGGCAAAGACTGGTTCATCCCAAAGATCCAGTCCCCCGGCACAAACAGAGTAATGTTGTGTATGCTGTTCAGTGTCAGGAGGGCTGTGATCAGTCTTACATCGGGGAAACTTAACAGCCACTGGCCAAAAAGATGGCCCAGCACAGAAGATCAACATCATCAGGCCAGGATTCTGCAGTCTACACTCATCTCCAGGCCAGCGGTCACTCGTTCAGGGATGAAGATGTTCACAACCTGGACAGAGAGGAACGATGGCTTGAGAGAGGAGTAAAGGAGGCCATCTTTGTGAAAAGAAATCTTCCATCATTAAACAGGGGTGGAGGCCTCCGGGTTCAACTGTCCCCCTCTTACACTGCTGTTATTGCTAGTATCACTCAACCCCGCTGTGAATAGTAAACAGCCATCAGTGTGCTAATGATCCATTGTTAGGCTGATGGTCCTTTTTGACCATGTGAGCAGCTGGTTTTGGTTGTCAGCAGCAAACTTGTCGATCCACTCTGAGAATGTGCTATTTAAGAGACTGAGCTGAATACAGCAACTCAGACTGAGGAAGTCTCTCGGATGAGAGATGAAACATTTCTATATATTTTTTGGTTTGTTTTGTTTTTTGTTTTTTTGAATGTCCAGAGGACCAGATTGAACTTTTTTGAACAACACAAATGTATATAGAAGTGCTCCCTGATCACGCGCAAAATATCTGGTGCAGATCATTTAATATATCATTGAGATATAACAGTTTGAAAAATCTAGGGGGCGTACTTGAGTCAAATGTTAAATAACAATACCAATGTTTCTAGAAATGCTCACATATGATGCCCCAAAAATCTGTTGTGGATAGGATTATGTATCATTGAGATATAACTGTTGGAGTATTGTAGGGGGCGTACTAGAGTCTTATGTTAAACCACAATATCAATGTGTGTAAAAGTCCTCACTGATGACGCACAATAAATCTGGTGCAGATCGGATGTTGTATCACTGAGCTATAACTGTAGGAATAATATAAGTGGTGCTTTGGAGGCTATTGGCCACTTATCATGGATACCTGTTCAAAGGGCGCATAATGATCAATCATAGTGATTTTGGTGCACTTTGGCTGAAATCTGTGCAATTTAAAGCCAAACGTATTGCAACAGCGTCACTTCTTATTTCGCCACGCCACCATGCCCACATCCTCAAGCAAAAACTGTTTATGCTTTAAATCAATTCAGACCATATTATCTGTCTTCAAACACAGGATCATCCTGATTAGGTCAATGGTGTCAAAGAGGGAGCATTCCAAGTTCAAAAAGATACTTCCTGTTCCCAGGGAACAGGAAGTATCACTTTGATGATGTCAAAATATGACCACAATGAATAGTCAGGCATCCAACAGGGATGAGTTAGGCCAAGTTTCATGCATTTCGGTATTTCATTGTGAAAGTTAGTGTTTGGAAATTTATGGCGTGAAGCGAAATTTTGAGGGCTGGCCACGCCCCTTTAACATATACGAAAATGCAAGCTTTAGATAACTTTTACTCTCCAATGTCACAAGGGCATATCAACCAAGTTTGAAGGCAATACATCAAAATTCCTAGAAGGAGTTTGTTAAAATTCGCAATTAGAAATGCCCAAAAATGACCCTTTGACCCAAAATGGCAGACTTCCTGTTGGTTATGGACCAGGACTCCAAGAGACTTTTTCATAGGTCCTGAGAAGATACAGATGTTCAAGTTTCAGAATTATCAGTCCAAAAATGGCTTGGGGCTGAGGTTTTAAAATATTCTAGGGGGCGCTGTGGAGGCTATTAGCCACTTATCATGGCTTCCTGTTCAAGGGGTGGATAACGATCGATTATACTGATTTTGTTGCACCTCGGTTCAAAACTGTGGAATTCAGAGCCAAACGTATGGCGACAGCGTTATGTCTTACTTCGCCATGCTGCGCCGCCCACATGCTCCTCCCAAAACTGTCAGTGTTGGAAAGCAAGTTACACCAACATGTCTTCGGTCACTGGACACACTATCATGCTGATCAGGTCATGGGTCAGATAGGGATCGTTCAACGTAAAACTTTATATATCCTGTTGTCAGGGGGTGTGGCTTAAGTGATGTCATGATTTGACCATTCAGTCTTGCAGGGGACCGGTTGTGGGTCAATCACTGAAGGTTTGATGTCTCAGACAGTTTTCTTGTAGGAGCTATTAGCGTTTCGTTTTTCATGGTGCAATGTCAAACTTTGAGGTCTGGCCCCACCCCTTCAGCATGCTCTGAAATGAACCGTTTAGATAACTTTGCGTCTCCCATGCATTTTGACCAAAATGGCCAAGTTTGAAACAGATTGAGCAAAATCTCTAGGACGAGTTTGTTCAAATGCGGAGGCTGTAAACCACCAAAAAGGTGTGAAACTTTGGCCGTCATTCCAAAATGGCCGCCTTCTTGTTTATCGTACAACTTGGGTGCCAGAGGGTTTTCTGTGCATCTTGGTGAATTGGACAAGTGTACCAAATTTCAAATACACAGAGATACACAGAGATCTCTTTAATTTCGTCAGTCCTGAAATTTTTGCTTCTAGCAACAGTTTAGCCAATTAGAGCTTTTTGTTACGGTTTTGCTATTTTTAGCTCTCTACTTTAGTTTAGCTATTTTTAACTTTTAGCTACTGTTTTTCTCATTTTAGGTCTGATCTGCTCATTTTTGCTTTAACAACTCAGTTTTAGCTTTTTTTTCATTCAACCTTAATTTAGACAGGTTAATCCCGTTGAGCATCGAGGACTCATTTACAAGAGAGACATGATGATTTTTTTTTTAACAAACTTTAGCAGAAAAATGTCAATTTCGTCAGTCTGTTTTATCACAGAGTAACTTAAAGATATCTAATGTTCTCATTTAAAAGGAGGTGGGAACTCAAATATTAAAGATGAAAAATCTAAAATTGCTACTATTTTAAAATTGTGTGATTTTCCAGGAGGCTCGGTGGTTCTGTTCTCGTTCGATGTGGGCAGTGAGAGAGCGGTGCTCAGTGTTCGCTCAGCGAACGTGCTCAATGATAACCATTGGCATCGTGTGGAAGTGGAGAGAAACATGAAGGAAGCTGTTCTGCAGCTGGATGGTCTGTACAGAGATTTCCGAGCCCTCCCCCCACAAGGACACAGGAAACAAGACTCCCTCACTGATCTGTATGTGGGTAAGCAACAAACCAATGGTTTACATTTACCATGAAATATTAGTTCACCCAGAGCTTTCTATTTCTTCATGAATGAATCCATTCCACTTGATTAATAGAAGAATACTCAAACCACTAAATGTCCACTCCGGGTTTTCCTGGTTAACTACAACAACTCACCACATGCAGTGTTTCTCTGAGGTCACTTGGCTTGGCAGGACGCTCATCTCTGAGGGTATTTTGTTTTGGACGGTGCAGGGGGTTTTCCTTGTTTTAGCTTTTGTTTTGCTCATGTTAGATATTACATTTTCATTCATTATCTTCCACTTGTTCACTTCCTGTCATGCCCTGCTAGGCAGGAAATTAGCATTAAAGCTAATGTGTTAGCTGGTGAAGTGTTGCTACTAGGTAGGACGTTAGCATTCAAGCTAATGTGTTAGCTGGTGAAGTGTCGTTCAACATTGCAGTGTTTTGACATTGCCGCAAATGAGAAACACACACATTTGTCTTTAATAACTGTTAATAAAAACCTCTTCCTCCCCATCACTGTGAAAATGATGTTCTATTTCGTATAGGCTTCGCCCTTTAAGGCTGTCACTTGTGGGTTTTATCCCGTCACGCAAAGCGTTGCACTGAAAAATTTAGTCCACACCCACCTGTCGTGTGGGCCCCACCCGGTCCGGATAAATTACGTTGAGAGCGGGTAATCGGCTCCCATTTTTCTTCAGCAAGCAATTAGCACTGATCTTCCAATAACGCGATGTCCAGCACCAACACCAGCCGCCTGTGCCTGTCCTACAAGACCGCTTACATGCTGAGCTTTGACTGGCATGACACCTGCGAAGGATGCCTAGGTCCCCGCCATGCCAACCTCGCCTTTTCCTGCCACCTCTGTGACCTCCTACCCCCTGAGGAGAGGCAGAGGCGAGCAGCCTTGTTTAAGGCTAACATCGAGGAGTGCCTCTCCGTGGTGGGGGACTGTTCGTTGGCCGACGCCATTGACTTTTTTGATGCCGGGTCTCGGAGCATATCGGATGGTTCCTACGGGACAGGCGACGTCAGCAGCAGCCCCACTGCTCATTCCCTCCCGGAGAGCGTAGTGTTGGAACGGGAGGGGCCGAACGAATGCTCACCCCTCCCGGGCCTTTCTGCATCAGCGACCACACCGCTCCCAGCAGTTGGTGTCCTCCTCTCGGAGCTGCCCAGCATAATCCAGGAGACGGCTGATACGAAGGAACTTTCCGTCCCTCTCCTCCCCCCGCCCAGATCGGATGATCTAGCAGGAACGTTTGGCTCCACCCCGGCTCGCCGTCCTGACCCCATCTGGCCTCGTTTCCCAGCAGTGACGTCCTACTGGAACGAGGCTGCAGCCGGACCTGGTAAATTGAGGGCGCCCGTCTCCACCTTTGCACCCATCACCAGAGTGGAGGGGTTTACTGAGCGGAATTTTCTCTCTGTACCCCCCCCCCGGAGCCAAACCTGGTGGAAGCTCTCGGAGCAAAAGTGTCCAGGTTGGACCAGCATCCAGTTCCTCGGGGAAGCACGACCAGACGATGATGTCACTCTCCAACCGAGCTCACCAGTGTACGTTCCAGGCGGCCGCAGCAAACAAGAATGTTGCTCTGCTGGCCTACAGCATCTCAAAGAGGCTGGAGGAAACGGACCTGCCTGAGGAGACAAAGAACTCACTCTGCAAGGCATCTGACGTCATCCTCAACCTGTGCGCCTCCTCTGCTGTCTGCCTGTCTCGCATCGCCGCCTGGATGACAATGATCCAGAGGTCCACCTGGCTTCAACACTCCCCCTCCCTGCTGAAGAAACTGCAGAAGGACCTGCTGGAGGACCCCATCACGACGGACGTGCTGTTCGGAGCCAATTTCAAGGCCATGCTAGAAAAATCGAAGTCGGAGGAGGTGTCAGAGACTGTGCGCCACCTGATGAAGCCGCACTCCTCCTCTCGCCCCACCCCCTGGAGGGATCGTCGCGGCCAGAGGCAGCAGCAGAGATGCTCCACAGCTGCAGCGGCATCCTCCGGCCCTGCTTCGCCGCCAGCCCCTCCCGCCAGAGAACAGTACTTCTCATTCCTGCAACCAGTGGCTCAGCGTTTCCCCAGAGACCGCCAACAGGCGCCACTCTGGAACAACCAGTCGCAGGGCTCACGGGGGAGAAGATTTAAGAAATGACTCCTTGCAGAGGATGTGTGTGTGCATAATGATGACTTGAGTTTTGAAATAAAATGAAAACATCATTCAGTGAATAAAGTGTCTGCTTTCAGCCTGACTGTCAGTTCGAATGATCACACAGCGGCTTCTCTTCACACATCCTCCGCACAAAACGAGCCGGTGTCCTCAAAACAGGTTTTTAAAAGTCACCGCAGCTCAAGAAAACACACAAAATGCTCGCTTGACACAGCAGCAAAAAATGAATGTTTTAAGCAGACCGAGCCCAGGAGAAAACCTCGCTCTCAGCCCAGGGTGTTTTCTGCCCTTCTGACCGCAGCGGAGACAAACGCGTGTCCCCGTGGCAGTGGCAGCCCCCACCCAAATGACGTTGCATTGCTGCTTTGCTGAGGGCGCGCACGCCTCCCCTCAGCGCACGTCAGCTCACATCAATTCTGATGTGAGCCTGCAGCCTGAGCTAGACACAGAGGCTTTTGACTTGGCTGACATCCGGAAAAGTCATGACGCATCACAAAGACACGTGCCCGTTCCCAGAGCGTTACGCAGAGTGGCAGCGAGCATGCTCCCTGAACAGCAGGATGCACCGTCTTATCAGCAAAGGTTACACGCTACAGTTCGCAGCTCAACCCCCTCTGTTCAGAGGGATTATAGAGACGGTTCTGTCATCTCCAGAACAGATCTCGTCCCTCCACGCAGAAGTTCATGAACTACTGGTGAAAAATGTAATTTCCAAGGTTACCGACGAAGAGGAAAACACATGGTTTAACTCACGTTACTTCCTGGTTCCGAAACGGACCGGAAGGATGAGACCCATCTTTGATTTATCCATTTTCAAGGCGATCACGGAAAGACAGTTTCAAATGTTGACAACCAGACAGATGTTAGACAACATTCCAATCATTCCAAAACACAGAAAATTCCTGTGCTTCTCCTTTCAAGGGACCCAGTATCAATACAACAGGCTGCCGTTCGGTTATTCCCTCGCACCATGTATGTTCTCAAAATGCGTGGAGACGGCTCTGTAGCCGCTACACAGAGTGGGGATGAGAATCATATTTTACATGGACAATCTGCTGCTGCTGACTCGATCCAGACAGGAAGCAGCGGCACAAACCCAAGCGCTGGCGGCACACCTGTTAAACGTGGGCTTCGCCATAAACTGGGAGAAGGGCTCGGTTCTTCCGGTCCAGATGATCGCTTATCTGGGAGTAGAGCTAAACTCAGTCACTATGAGGGCTCGTTTGTCACAGACGAGAACCGAAGCTCCAAAAGACCAGCTCCGCCATGTAAAACCCGGCAGAGTAGTGACAGCTATTTCCATCATGAAACTGTTAGGAGCAATGTCGTCAGCTCACACGGTAGTTCCGTTGGGCTTACTCCACATGAGACACCTCCAGAAATGGTTCGCTCGTTTGTGCATAGATCCGTTAAGGCAGAAGAGGCGGATGATCTCTGTGCCCCCCTCCATGGGAATCAACCTGAGACATTGGGGGAATCCCCTCACTCTGTCAGAGGGAGTCCCTATCAGCAGACCTACATCACACGTCTCAGTTTTCACAGACGCGTACCTGTCAGGTAGGAGAGGAACGTGCCCGTCTCGGGCTGTGGGGGCGCTGTGGCCACATCACACAGCTGCTCATATAAACGTTTTGGAATGCTGCAAGGTTTTGAATGTGATTCAACATTTTGCTCCTGTGTTGCGGAATCAACATGTTCTGATTCACACAGACAAAAAAGTGTCTGTAGCGTACATAAACCAGCAGGGGGGCATGCGCTCAGCCCAAATGTTACACATTGCGAGGCAGCTGCTGTGTTGGGCACACAAAAACCTGCTTTCCATCAGAGCAGTGTACATCCCCGGCGTCCTGAACAGAGGAGCGGACATAATGTCCAGGGGCGGTCCGCACCACGGGGACTGGAGCCTCCATCCCGAGCTGATGTCTCGGACATGAGAGAAATTTGGCAGAGTGGCAGTGGACCTGTTTGCCACTAGGGATAACGCCCAGTGTCAACTATGGTTCTCACTGAGCCCACGGGACGAACCACCATTAGGAGTGGACACGTTTGCCCACAGCCCGTGGCCCAAAATGCTCTTTTACGTATTTCCTCCAGTCCCTCTAATATCACGGTTTCTGAACCGAGCTCGAGAGGAAGAACTGTCAGCCATTCTGATAGCCTCCGAGCGCATGAGTGGGTTCCAATCCTGCGACGTCTGTTATCGGGTCGCCCGTGGAAACTGCCGTGGAGGGAGGACACTCTCCTCCAGGCGTGAGCGATCAGGAGTTACCCAGAAATAGGCTAGCACCTTTGGGTCTGGCCGCTGAGTGGATCCGCTTAGAGAGGATGGGTCTCTCTCAGGATGTAGTGCGCACGATCCAGGATTCATGTGCTGCCTCCACCACAGCGCTGTACACATCAAAGTGGACAGCTTTTCAGCGCTGGTGGACCGAGAAAGGTGTAGAGGCCACCTCATGTCCACTAGGTGGCGTGCTGTCCTTTCTGCAGCAGCTGATAGACAGAAATCTGATGTTCAGCACAATTAAAATGTATGCTGCAGCCATTTCTTCCTGTCACGAAGGCTTCGGTGACCGAACAGTTTTTAATCACCCGCTGATGAAGCGTTTGCTAAAAGGTATACAAAGGTACATACCTGTGTCACGCCCACTAGCTCCTCAGTGGGACTTAACGATGGTTCTGCAGGCCCTGATCAAAGCTACTTTTGAGCCGCTAGGTCAGGTTTCGATTAAATTCTTGTCACTTAAAACAGCCCTGCCGTTGGCTTTGACATCTGAAAAGAGGGTGAGTGATTTATCTGCTCTCTCTGTTGCTCCATCATGCCTCAGGATTCAAGCTGATGGCAGTTAAGCTGATCTGAGACCTAACCCAGCGTTTATGCCCAAAAACATCACAAGCTCATTTAAATCGAGAATGATAACGATGGAGGGTTTTTTCCCTCCTCCCCACAAATCAGAAGAAGAAGCATCTTTTCATCTTCTCTGCCCTGTGCATGCATTGGCATGTTACATAGCACGCACGGCCATGCTGCGTCAGACTCAACATTTGTTTGTGCATTATAGAGAGGCCTCTGCATGTCGCCCGTTATCCACCCAGCACCTGTCACACTGGCTGTGTGAGGGCATTTCTGAAGCTTATAGAGCATCAGATTTAGAGCCTCCTGACAACCTCAGGGCGCATTCGACCAGAGGCATCGCATCTTCGACGGCCTTGCATAATGGTATGGCAATGTAGGATATCTGCACTGCGGCCGCGTGGTCATCACCCTGTTCATTTATTCTCTTTTATCTGCGTGATGTGTCAGCTCGCTCCATGACGCATTCTGTCCTTGGTGCCTTAATAGAATGAATTTCATTGTTTTCATGGAACTTCGTTTAAACTCACATCTGACTGCATACAATTACAGTGTGAGATATTTATTATCAGTCACAAGTTTGTGACTGTTGGTTTTGTTCTTATGTCACTAATCAGTTCATGACTACTGTTACCAATCAGTTCATTTGATTACTAATCAGTTAATTTATTATGAATCTGTTCACTGTTTTTCAGCCTCTCCCCTTTTCCCGTCGAGAATTTTTTCTCTCCGGTGCGCCCATGTACACGGAATGCGTAAATTACGCAGCACGTGTCTGTACATGGTGTGCGTAATTACGCAGCGCGTATTTACGCACATGGAGGGTTGAGTGATAAAATGTTTTTTGGTGTAAGCGGATGCTTCATACGGTGTTCGAATGGACCCAGTGAGGCAGAGACTACATCCTGCTTTGCCTTTAACCCACAAGCGACAGCCTTAAAGGGCGAAGTCTATACGAAATAGAACGTTGGTTACGTACTGTAACCCCAGATTTTATGAGTATAGGCGTAGCCCTTTAAGCTCTGGGCTTCACTGGCTCCTAAGTGACTGAAGAAAAAGCTATTTGGGAGCCGATTAACCGCTCTCAACATAATTTATACAGACCGGGTGGGGCCCACACGACAGGTGGGCGTGGACTAAATTTTTCAGTGCTACGCTTTGCGTGACGGGATAAAACCCACAAGCGACAGCCTTAAAGGGCTACGCCTATACTCATATAATCTGGGGTTACAGTACGTAATCAACGTTTTCTTTAGTTTCTCTGCCATTTCCCCTCTACTCAGGGAGGTAAAAATAGTTTGTATCTGTGCTGCTGGCAAAGATCTCAGTGCACCTCTACTTTATTCAGAACTTTGACTCCAGACAAGGTTGTTAAGCTGAATACATAAAACATTTTATTCTAAAAGTTCTTATTAATTATTTTAATTTCAAACCTGCGTCCATGCAAATGTTATTACTTAAATTTAAAACCGTAATTGATGATTTTTAGGTGGTGTCTCTTGATGAGTGCTATACTTAGAACATGCCTGCAGACAATTCACGTGGCCCCTGCAGGTGACAAAGTGTCCACAGGCCAAAATGTGGGGGGTCCAAATGAGTATTTTTTAAATGTGAGGGGGACACGTCCCCTTCACATCTAATTTTTGCAATGGCTACGATCAGTACTTATGTTACATTTAAAATACAAAAACGGTGCATTTCAAATGTTACTGATTGAGATTACAATAAATCTAATATTTTATGTTTAAATATCTGTCTGCTATAGAAAATCATCCATTAGGTCCCCTTTGTTCCTAATCAGGGTCAGGGTGGGGGCTGGAGCCGCTCTCATCTGCCTTTGGATGAAGACGGGACAGCTGGACAGGCCTTCGGTCCATCACAGGGACAGACAAAAAGACAAACAACTGTCCACACTCCCAGACACCTAGAGCAATTTAGAGTCACACAGAACAGCCACAAAACAGATTCAAACTGAGAACTCGAGTTCTAATCACTAATTATCAATAATAATTGATCGTGTCTGCCTTGGTAAATCATAGTAGATAATTATTGAGGAGTTCTTAACATTCACCGTCATATATTCACATATATGTACATTTATTATTATTAATACTATAATTAAAGTAGAGTAGACTTCTTTAGTCATGACTGATATACATTAGTTCAGTCATGACTGAAGAAGTCTTTCGGATGAAAGACAAAACTTTTCTACATTTTTTTGTTTTTTGAATCCATCCAGAGGACCAGACTTAACAATTTTAGGTTTTTCTACCTGGATTATTGAGCATGCATCAGAATAAGGCTCTACTACTTTTTTATTTTCATTTACCTTTTATTTATACAGGTAGTCTCATTGAGTCACAAGAACTCCTTTCTAAGAGAGACATGTTTGGGAGCAGATGGTGGGGGTTAAGAGCCTTGCTCAAGGGCCCAGAGTGGGGCAAATGAGGGTGGAGGCAAGTGTGGGTGTTTCACCTTTACCACCCAGATTTTGATGTTGATGGTACCGGGAGTTGAACCTGCAACTTTCCGATCACAAGCCCATCATCTCTAACCTCTGCGCTACCACTCCCCCAAGCTAACTTTTAGCTAACAGTTTTGATATGTTTGATTTTCAACTATCTTTTGGATACTTTCAGCTAATCATTTGCTACCTTTAGCTTTTAGCTGTCGTTCTAATACTTTTAGCTTTTGGCTATCCCTTTTCAGTTTGTAGGTTCTGCTTTGCTACTTTTCACAAGCCTTTTCTACTTTTAGATTTTAGGTAGCCTTTTGCTACCTTTTATTTTATAGCTTGCCTTCTGATGCATTACTTTTTAGCTAGCCTTTCAATAGTTTTACCATCTAACCCATTAGACACTTGTATTTGTGTATACTAATACTAGGTGGTGTTTAGTGCATTTAATGTATTGTAGAGTTGCACTGTAAATGTAAATCTTTAGTTACATTTTAAAACCTGAGGATTTGTTTCATAAGTGTTATATGTCATCATTGTATGTTCGCATAGAATGATGAAATTAGTTCTTTGCATTTAACCCATCACACCTGAGATACACCCAGGTGGAGCAGTGGGCAGCTATGTAAGCACCCAGGGAGCAGTTAGGAATTTGATGTCTTGCTCAGAGATACCACGACACGTAGGCATGGCTGGGTGTCGAACCTGGGACTTTCTGGTCCCAGGTCGGCTGCCCTGACTGTACACCATCTCGGCCCCTAATTCATGTCCTGTGTTCCAGGAGCTTCACGTGGTCAGAGGGGTTTCCTGGGCTGCATGAAGGCTCTTAAAATAAATGGAGTCATTTTTGACCTGGAAGTAAGGGCAAAGATGACTTTGGGGGTGAGGCCAGGCTGCCAGGGCCACTGTGGAAGCTTCGGGATGCACTGCAAGAACGGAGGGAAATGTGTGGAGCAGTATAATGGCTACGCATGTGACTGCGCTCACACTGCATATGATGGACCCCTCTGCACTAATGGTACAAACTTTCATTTATCAGAATGGATTAGAATAATTTTTAAGGTACTGTTTTTAATACATTTTGACATTTTGTGTGTGTGTGTGTGTGTGTGTGTGTGTCAGATGTAGGAGGCTATTTTGAAACAGGAACCCTGGTACGTTATGACTTCCTGCCAGATGCAGGTGCATCTCTGCAGGAGGACAAAACTGTGCCTGGAGTTGGTGTGTCCGGTGAAGCCAACCTCACCCGGGAGGAGCTGGTGTTCAGCTTCAGCACCTACAGCGCCCCCAGCATCCTGATATACATCAGTTCAAGAACACAGGACTCTCTGGCTGTGGTGCTCAGAAACAATGGTTAGTTTCTCAATATTTATTCTCTGCTGCACATTAACAGTCCATAGCTGTCTAAAATTTTAACTTGATGAGGAGACAATTCTGAAATAAATTATAATGCTTTCACAAATGGAAATGCTAAAAGTATTTTTAATTTAGTTTCAAGTTTAAAGTAGGGACCACCCCTTCAAACAGCAGCAGCTCCTTGTGCACGTCCACGCAGCTGGTAGGAAGTCAGCAGATTGGTGACTCCAAATGTCTTAAAGGTAGTATCTCACTGGACTTAGACTTGTCATGACATTCATGAGAGGTCTCCTGAATGTCTTGGAACATTAGTGGGTTTCTCAGTTTTCTTTTGTGAGTCACAGAGGCATGTAATCCTGTCACTTGAGTTTTGAGTGTTCAAAACTAGGATCCCAGACTCAGTCTCAGATCCCTCAGTCTGGTGGTTGAAGGAAATCTTGTTCAAAGAACGAGAAAGCAACATGACCCTCAGAAGAGAAGACAATATCTACATCCTCATACTCTTCCTCTTCTTGTTAGTGGCATGGAGGGAGTAAAACAGGGCAAACCTTCTGTGAAACAGAACATCTTTTATACAGGTCCTTCTCAAAAAATTAGCATATTGTGATAACGGTCATTATTTTCCATAATGTAATGATAAAAATGAAACTTTCATATATTTCAGATTCATTGCACACCAACTGAAATATTTCAGGTCTTTAATTGTTTTAAAACTGATGATTATGGCATACAGCTCATGAAAACCCAAAATGCCTGTCCCAAAAAATTAGCATATCATGAAAAGGTTCTCTAAACAAGCTATTAACCTAACCATCTGAATCAACGACGTAACTCTAAACACCTGCAAAAGATTCCTGAGACTTTTAAAAACTCCCAGCCTTGTTCTTTACTCAAAACCGCAATCATGGGTAAGACTGCCGATCTGACTGCTGTCCAGAAGGCCATCATTGACACCCTCAAGCAAGAGGGTAAGACACAGAAAGAAATTGCTGAACGAATAGGCTGTTCCCAGAGTGCTGTATCAAGGCACCTCAGTGGGAAGTCTGTGGGAAGGGAAAAGTGTGGCAGAAAACGCTGCTCAACGAGAAGAGATGACCGGACCCTGAGGAGGATTGTGGAGAAGGGCCGATTCCAGACCTTGGGGGACCTGCAGAAGCAGTGGACTGAGTCTGGAGTAGAAACATCCAGAGCCACCGTGCACAGGCGTGTGCAGGAAATGGGCTTCAGGTGCCGCATTCCCCAGGTCAAGCCACTTTTGAACCAGAAACAGCGGCAGAAGCGCCTGACCTGGGCTACAGAGAAGCAGCACTGGACTGTTGCTCAGTGGTCCAAAGTACTTTTTTCGGATGAAAGCAAATTTTGCATGTCATTCGGAAATCAAGGTGCCAGAGTCTGGAGGAAGACTGGTGAGAAGGAAATGCCAAAATGCCAGAAGTCCAGTGTGAAGCACCCACAGTCAGTGATGGTCTGGGGTCCCATGTCAGCTGCTGGTGTTGGTCCACTGTGTTTTATCAAGGGCAGGGTCAATGCAGCTAGCTATCAGGAGATTTTGGAGCACTTCATGCTTCCATCTGCTGAAAAGCTTTATGGAGATGAAGATTTCATTTTTCAGCACGACCTGGCACCTGCTCACAGTGCCAAAACCACCGGTAAATGGTTTACTGACCATGGTATTACTGTGCTCAATTGGCCTGCCAACTCTCCTGACCTGAACCCCATAGAGAACCTGTGGGATATTGTGAAGAGAAAGTTGAGAGACGCAAGACCCAACACTCTGGATGAGCTTAAGGCCGCTATCGAAGCATCCTGGGCCTCCATAACACCTCAGCAGTGCCACAGGCTGATTGCCTCCATGCCACGCCGCATTGAAGCAGTCATTCATGCAAAAGGATTCCCGACCAAGTATTGAGTGCATAACTGAACATGATTATTTGAAGGTTGGCGTTTTTTGTATTAAAAACACTTGTCTTTCATTGGTGGGATGAAATATGCTAATTTTTTGGGACAGGCATTTTGGGTTTTCATGAGCTATATGCCATAATCATCAGTATTAAAACAATTAAAGACCTGAAATATTTCAGTTGGTGTGCAATGAATCTGAAATATATGAAAGTTTAATTTTTATCATTACATTATGGAAAATAATGACCTTTATCACAATATGCTAATTTTTTTAGAAGGACCTGTAGAACAGTCCATGTAGGATGTTACCCCTGGTAGGATTGCCAGCTGATGCTCCAGAGACAACACATTCATGTTATGCCTCTTTTCCATTAGTACCATTAGTACCAGTACAGCACGGTTCGACTCGGCTCAGCATGGTATGAGTTGTGTTTCCATTATATTTTCGGTAACAGTTTTAGTGGGCAGGTTCATCTAGGAAATCTGCAGGAGCACGCAAGGCTGGGACCCGGACCCCGGCCTTGCGCGCTCCTGCGGTTCGACAGCACAGAGGATCTTCTGTGATGTTAGAGCGGGAGCTGGCTGCGGGTCATGGTTCACTGCAGCTAGCTGTTGCTAGCTGGGACCTTTGGCCTCCTCTCGGACCCAGGACCCGCCTCCAGCCCATGTTGTTTCCCCTGGCTCGGACCTCCCTCAGAAGTGGCAACTCATACTAATTACTAAATGAAGGATACGTGAATTCAGTTTTACTAATTGTATTAAAATCAAAGCAGGAAAAGGTTACAGTTTACAGCGCTGGCCAGTCCGGTCTATGATGCGATCACAAACCGGAAGGGCAGATGTCCCGTGTCATTACTGATTCATAGGGCCTAGACTTTTCCTTCGCAGAAGGGGAGCACAACCTATCACGTGTATGAGGGGGTGTGACTATGTGTGATTTCAACGGATTTTACGTGATTTGACGTGTAAGGAAAAATGAGACAGTGCTTCAAAAGCCTTTCTACGTGATGTAGCAAGCAAAAATAAATTCTATTCCTTGACGGATATTGAATCCCTGGGAGACTCTTTTTAGAGGTGCTGGCCCCATTTAACCCAGTCAGAACCGGGTCATAATTTCATTATAATCCCATCTCTGAGCAGATCAAAAAACCCCAGGACTAGTCTAGATAAATATCTAACAACTCTTCCTGGTCGAGGGACCCTGAAAGGGTTTCCTCAAATAAACTCCCATTTCAGTACCGCCGCATATGCAAGCAATTAATCACTTTTCCTGTGGTTGAATGTAAACTACTTCTTATATGTTCGCGGGGAAAGACTTCCGGCGTGACATGTGACCTGACAGCCTCAGGTCAAATGACCCAGTTCTCGACATTTGCCAATGACTCCAGCATCCCCCTGGTGAGGTGCATGACATAATGGAAATTTCTAACATTGCCTAAGTCAGTGCTTTAAATATGATTTAATGATTGCAGAAGGCGTTCTAATGCAAGAAAGTGTTCTGATCTAAGAATGTTAATCAGTTTGTAGACCCTGAAGTTCTCTTTTTGACTCCAAGGGGCTTCCCCAGGCACGGTCCACCTGGAAAGGAAAAGAAAACTCTGTGCCCCCTTCCCCTTCACTCATGCAATACCCAATTTATTTGCACAGAGCGCTGCCTGTATTTTTAGTCTGTCACAGCAGAAAATATGTTTATCAGAGTCAGAGTCAGAGTTTCTTTATTGTCATTCGCACCTCATGTGGTACATGTGGTGGAGCGAAATTATGTACACAGGGTCCCAGTTACATCCAACAATAAAATGTATAAGAAAAACAGTAATAACATCTAAGATATGAACTAAGAAAAACATCAACTAAATATACACTAAGCACTCATAACATAAAACATTGAACATCAGCACAAACATGAACATGAGTCTGTGAGCAGATGTGCATGCATGAACACATCAACATTGAAACAGATCAGCAGCAACATGAAACAGATCAGCAGCAACATGATATGGTTTTACACAGTGATTATTCTAGTTAGAGATTCATGAGTCTAACAGCCTCAGGGTAGAAGCTGTTCCTCAGTCTAGTGGTTCTACACTTAATGCTCCTTAACCTCCTTCCTGAGGGGAGTGGGGCAAAAAGTGTGTGTGCTGGGTGGGTGGGGTCCTTCATGATGCAGGTGGCCCTCTTCCTGCATCTGGAGGTGTAGATGTCTGTGATGGTGGGGAGACTGATTCCAACAGATTTCTGTGCAGCCTTCACCACTCTCTGCAAAGCTTTTCTTTCTGCAGCTGTGCAGCCTCCATGCCACACATTGATGCTCGAGCACAGGATGCTCTCCACTGCACACCTGTAGAAGGAGGTGAGGACTGAGCTTCCCAGACCAGCTCGCCTCAGCCGTCTGAGGAAGTAGAGTCTCTGATGAGCTTTCTTGATCAGGCTGGTGGTGTTGTTGCTCCAGCTGAGGTTGTCATTCATGTGTACACCCAAGTACTTGTAGCTGGAGACCACTTCCACCGCAGATCCTCTTATGTTCAGGGGGGTGTAGGTGTTTTTGTTCCTTCTGAAGTCCACAATCATCTCCTTTGTCTTCTTCACATTGATGTGAAGGTTATTCTCTCTGCACCAGCTCTCCAGGTGTTCCACCTCTTGCCTGTAGCTGGACTCATCATTGTTTGTGATGCATCCCACCACCGCTGTATCATCTGCAAACTTTACTATGTGACAGCCTGGATGGGTAGCTGCACAATCATATGTGAGCAGAGTAAACAGAAGGGGGCTCAACACACATCCCTGAGGAGAGCCAGTGCTGAGGGTTATGGTGGAGGAGGAGAGGTTGTGGATCCTCACTAACTGTGGTCTGTTTGTTAAAAAGTGTAGTACCCAGTTGCAGATGGAGGGGCTTAGTCCTAGTGTGGATAGTTTGTCCATCAGGGTTTGGGGGATCATGGTGTTGAAGGCGGATGTGAAGTACACAAAGAGCATACGGACGTAAGAGTTTTTCTGCTCCAGGTGGTTGAGTGCAGTGTGGACCACAGAGGAGATTGCATCCTCTGTTGATCGGTTCTCACGGTATGCGTACTGATGAGGGTCCTCGTTGATGTTGA